TGCGATGACACTCACCCGATGTACTGCACGACGGTCGCGTCGTACTTGCGCACCTCCTGCCAATACCTAGAGGCAGAGAACTTGCGCCCGATGATGACCGTAGAGCCCGAGTACCAGCTCGCTCCGATGCAGAGGAATGCGGCAGAAGAGTGATACAGGGGCATGGGCGTGTAGATTCGGTCGTTTTTGTTGAAGCCGTTAACGTTGGGCCACATCGCGCAGGCACCGCCAATACGCCCGTGCGAGCACAGGGCAGCTTTGGGAAGGCCAGTCGTTCCACTGGTGAAGATGAGAGTGGAAACATCGCTGGGTCCAATAGCTTCTCTAAGCTTAGGGTTGGGTGCCTTGGTGCTTTGCGCCGCCAGCTGTTGAGGTCCAAAGTATTCTGAATCCTTGAGCTGCACAGCGTGAGGCGCAGCCGTCTTTTCGTCGATGGCCACGCCATCATCGAAGCAGACGTACTTCTTCAGGTGGCCGGCAGAGCGCAGGTCGGCGTCTACTTCAGAAAGCGCAGATTCGAGCTGCGGCTCGTAAATGACCAGACGAGCGCGGGAGACCTTGACACAGTGAGCAAGCGCGGGGCCTCGAAGACCATTGTTAATGAATGCTGGCACAACGTTGATGCTCAAAGCAGCGAGCCAAAGCAGCACGTAAGCAGTGCAATTGCCCATAAACAGAGCAATTCGGTCTGGAAAACAAGGGCCAGGCTGTCAGAGTCGAGAGCTCCGGCTTCATGGCTTCATGGCTTCTTGAACTCACCTCCTGGGTTGAGGCCGCTGGACAGCAGGTAATTTGCGATGCGATGGACCTCTGCGAAAGGAGTAGAGGTCGACTTCAGTGCTCATTCAAAGGTTAGGCGCTGTTGCACGAGCAGCCATGCGTAGATCATTCCAAATGACTGGGCCAGCAAGTCTGCCCTCTTCGTCGGCAAGCGACCTGGTCTACATTCATCTTTGCTCCAGCCTGATCTCGCTAAAGCTGCCCGCATTCCGGGCAACGCTTTCATGCCTTTGCACACATCTTGTCCACAAGTAGTGACCTAGGGGCGTTTTGCGCCTTGAATGCGCTCGAGAGATGCTCACCGGTCTGTGCCTGGCCCCAGGTTGTCTGACGTCCTTCGTACACGTATGCAACATCGTTTGGGCTCCTGGCAGCGGTGTCTTCGAAAAGAGAGTACATGCTCGCTTTTCCCCTCCATGAACGCAGTCGGAAGCTGCACGCGACGAGGTGCGTCAGTAGCGGATGGCATTGTGAGCATCAACCTGGCCGCGCTGCAGCCAGTGCTTAGCATTCATCATACGTACTTTAGGTTGCTCTTGGCGTTGGCTCTGGCCAAGTGAAGGTCGTTACCCAAGCCCCATTTGGCGTCCAGATAGGCGACGGCCGCAAGGCCGGATGCAGCTTTGAGCACTGCTGATGAAGCCATTGTGTGGGCGAGTCAGGTGGTGTGCCAAGTCCGTTGTTGTAGTTAGTCTACCTTTGGTAATCCAAGCCGATCCCGTGTTGTGTTGGATAATGTCGCTGACTGAGCTTATCCTCAAC